TCTGGGTTTTTTCAAGCGCGTGCGGGCAAGCGGAGGAGGAGGAGGTTTCAAGACAAGCAGAGGGCAGGGGGTAAATGCATTAGATGGCTTATATGCCCCATAGCCCTTTGATCAGGAAGGATGCCTTTGTGAAGCGATAGTGGGCGCTGTCATTGGATCGCACTAATTGCATGCTATCCAAGCTGTCTCTGGCGGCAGCTTCAGTGAAAAAATCGACTTCCATCCCTGTACGACGACTGCGCTGGCCAAGAAGAACAAATGAAACCGATAGCCGTTGTCGCCTTTTTGCCCTTCTTCTCAAACCATTCGAGGCTGATAGTCTGCGTGGCTGGAAGTCACTTTCAAGTATGGGCACATTAAGTTTGCAATGAAGTATGCGTGGAGATCTCCTTTCACTGGAACTCGAATCATCAAGTATGTAGAAGGAGTCCCCTTTAGATGAAATTCCAACACAAAATTTCGTGCTACAAATTTTGGTCTCTCTTGTCAGCAATTTCCGCACACTTCTCTATTTAACATCAGAAGCACGAACATCATGCCCTCCTTGGCTTCAAATGAAAGTGACGACTGCAGTACGGGCTGCAAATAATAGGAGTTTGTTTGGAGTCAGCGCATAACTAGGCCATCTTAGTGTCAACATATCTAGCATCCTAGGATCTTAATGAACACTTTACGTTTACAAATTTTTAAACCGATACAATATTTCAGGGTTGCCCTCCCACGGCAAAACTAACGTTTACGATCGGACATATGAGTCTAGATAGCATTTTCTTGTATGACGCTCTCCGTTTTGTGGCAATAAAATATCAGGTATGGGCAAAGGATAATTTTTAAAACTGAAATTGTTCCTGCAAAATAATGCTACTCCTTGAACTTGGCTTCAGCGTATCATAATCAACCGAAGACTAGATTTTCTGGTCCCGGAAAAGATTTATTTTAAACTCTTCTTGCTTATACTGGGGTTCTCCCATAGTTGAAGGCATAAGAATAAAAGTTTTAGTCCTGCCATACTCAGTAGCATAGAAAATATGTTCGATATCAGACAACCTCCGATTTCGCCAAAATTCTGCCTACTACCCTCACACGAACTAAACTGAACTGGCAGGTTTTCGTACTCAAATGCTGTCTCAGGATCAAATGCACTCACCAGATCAACACAACATGCCCAAATGTCCGCCAAACTATAAAGTCCAATTTCGATCAAGAATCTACATGAATTACCCCACCTACTGTCTCTAATGATGCAAACTGCGCAGGCCTAATTTAACTCCCTTCGCATTCACTCATTCACCCTCAGGTCTGCCTCAACTAAAAACATAAATGTTAGGCTTGGGGTTCAGGTTTGCGGGTAAGGAGTGAGGATTGGGAATTGGGAATTAGGGCTAGAATTAGAATTACTTGGTAGGGTTAATTTTCGAGGTTTTGGGTTAGAGCTGAGGTCAAGGTTAGGCAGTAGAGGCATGAGTTATGGGTTAGATTATGGGCGTCGTCAACTATAATTACATATTCGGGCGCATTCATCAAGAGATTCGGCTTTGACGATACATTTCACCGAATTTCCGCTATAATGTGCTTGACTTGCAATGGCTCAGATCAGATTGCTTGAAATATAAAATAATCGCGTACGGTTTTCATTTTCTGGCCGTTTTTAGCTCCTCATTTGCAATATTTCAAATTGTGCGCTCGTACTTACGCGATCTATAGGTTTCGTTTGTCTCGCCTGTAAAATCCCGATTATTATCAGAATCGCGCAACAGGTGTCCCTGACTCCAGTTTTCTGATTGGCTGCGCATTTCAGGTCATTGCCGGACCAGCAACATTTAATATCCCACGTTTACGAAGCCTACCAAAATCATTTCAGTTTTGGGCCTGCAGTGAACTGGCAATCTTTAGTTTATTACGAGACAAGCGGGACAACCATCCTACACAGTAAGAAAGGAGTAATAGCGGAAAACTGACCCCTCATAATTGCCCAGATGAGAATAATCAGACCTCGAATTCCTTGTCAAAAGAAGCGGGCACAGAATAAGAAATTTCACATGCTCTCTCCAGCAATTTATCTTAAAATATTATTTGGACTTTGACTCAGCCATTCACAGGTATTCGAACTGCTATGAGAAACCTCAGCCTTGGTGGCTACTGATTGTTTTCTACTGATCTATCAATTCACTAGTTCCTTACTAGCTAGCAACATCTGTTTATAATTCAAAACATCCGCAATCTAAAATACTATAATAATCAGGTTACGCTACATATAGTTCTATCGTCTTTGGACTATAGTTTATCTTACCTTCGATCCACATCATTAAGAAGCTGGGCAATTTTGAAATAATAATCGTTTGCTAATATTCAACAACTTTATTTCCTGCCGAGTAAGCAAGTTCATATAATATTTTTACGATATAAGGACTGTTTTAAATATGCGAAGATTCTCCTTGAAACTTTCAGAAAATAAATTGACGTTTGTTTTTGATAAATTCTCGTCAGGTCTTTACACTATAAGAACTGTTTTTTATGACTTATTTTGCATAATACATCGAAGGACTTTACAATGAATCCCAACAAAATGCATAACTGCTTGAAATGCGATCACTGCGACAGAAATAGTACCTACCCTAAGGAATGTCGCACTTTTTCCTAACTTTTGCATTTATGTCTTAAAACCGCTCGTTATTTTTCCCGCATACCTTCCTGAAAGGCGGACACAGTACCCTAAGAAAAAGAACATGGTCAACCGAAATTTAGCATTGCGCCTCGAGGACTGTGGCAGGTAGAAAATTGCTATGTCCCGACTGAAAACGTTCCTCTGTTACATTCTTTCAAGTACGCTTTATATACATATATTAGTGTTAAGAGTCACCCTTGTCGGTATTCCTGTAAAATGTCCATTCTTGTGACTGTAGGCCAACAGTATACAACTTTGCTTATTCTGGTGAAAGCCATTAGTTAATTCAAAACGTCGCATTAATGTTTCCTTCAATCATATTGTTTCATCTTTCAATATATGCATTTTCTCTTATTTAGCCTGCGGTGACTAGGACCTTGAGTGAGCAGCCATTACCCACATTCCGTAATTCAGTTAAATAATCCAAATATTGTTAGATATACTAAGTAGTAAATACATAGTGCGTCTCTCGAGTACTGTTTTTTCATATAGAGCTAAATGTGTCCTTTCAGCAGCTGCTAGATTTAACAGGCACTTTCTGATAATATTAGTTCTGCCCCCCAAGTTTGCAACCCACATTTAACAAGTATTTTCCGCATGGAAGCTTCTTCATACATTTGGCCAACGTCTTAGGAATTTTCGGAGTTTATTTTAACGCACGTTTTTCGCAAAACCAAGACACACGTCAGCCGATGACTCACAGTGTACCTTTTCTGGGATCCTGATGACTTGCGTGGACAGTCAAACGCTGTCTCCGCCTAACCATCCTTCAGTGTGCTGTCGGATGCATTCAGCTTTTGCTAAGAATGGTTTAACATACGTTTCATGATGCTCTACTCTAACTGGCTGTAAATAAAGCTCGACGCTATCTCTCTTTAACCGTAATTCTTTTCGCACGAAAGTATTGCTTTGTTTTTCGTCGAACAAAAATGTGTATTGATTAACAAACGTTAGCTTGATGTGCGCAATCTCTCACAAATATGATCCTCTCAGACAGGCAAATAAAAAATGGGATAACTTCAAATAGTGTTTTTATCAGGCAGTTGTGTTTGTGTCATCTCCAGACACAGGAAATATTCTTAAGATCTGTAGGTCATCACACGAGGCGTATTACATATAAGCAAGCAACGAATTACAAAAGATTTTAATAGAATTTAAATTTTCTACTCATAAAAGCAGAGTTGCTATTTACGTCCTCCTTCCTGTAAAATTACTGTTGACATTTATGTCGCGGGGAAATAGAATGAAAAAATATTTGATGAGTTGCCTTAGCTAGACGCTCATTTTGTGAAAAAGGTGCCTAGTAAACATTTTAAATACCTTTATTAAATTTAACCGGAAAATATTTTCTCTGGGCACTGAAAAATTGCCGAAACTGACTGTGGCAAGGTCTTTTGACTTATCGAGTTTCCAAACAAAATTATCTGATGTTTATCTATACTTGTTGCACAGAGAGATCGAAATTCTACATAACAATCCAGATCCTCTTGAAGATATTTCAAAAGGTAGTTATTGGCCGACCAATTAGCTGGCATTTGTATGTATTTATGGGCAGTTTCTAGTATTTTAGGCGTCAGTTAACATCAGAAATGTAACCCAAGATGATAAAAAAGAAGATTTATTATGATCAGTTTTCGTTGTTAGGTCATTGTCACCCGGTCTCGTTGCTTTCATACATATTGACGAATGCTTGCTTTAAGAAAAAAAGTGTTGTCTGTAGTAAGCATTTTCTTACATAATGGTCGACAAATTGTCTCATTGTGAAAATCAGTCTTCAGACCAATAGAGACTTTACTGACATTCTCCTCTGTTTTTAAATGCTCCACTTTGTCGTTGTCCATGCCAATGTTACTCTTTACAAATGTGGTCGCTGCCTAAAAGGGTAGAAATAGGACATTGAAAAGAGTGAAGCTTTTGCATGCTAAAAGCGTAAAATATACTTCATTAAATTATTTAGATATTCAGTGAAACCAAAAAGTTAAACTTAGTGTTTGGTTAACGATTTTCTTTAATCTTAATTCGATTATTCTCTCATAATATTTTAATTTCACGTTACCTACGACTACCATTTAAGAGTCACGATTTAAAATTTCCCTCTGGGTACTATAGGGAATCTGGAATAATGTGTATTTATTTCGTCTGCTCCCAAGAAAGTTATGGAAACTAGGCTTTCTGTATCGTATTTAGTATATATATGTCAGTCGATAGCCGAGATTGAGAACGGATTTTTGCACTAATGTGATGGACTGAATTGGCTAGCAGCAGCAACGAACTTGCCATCTATCCACCCTCACTATTAGCGCCATTTTTCGAGGATACATTTCTTATAAAGTAACTAAGGTGTCAGTGTAGTTTAAGGCTTGCATTATTTTGTTCTTCGATTGTTGTTTTCCATTTAATGGCTAGGTTTGTGGGATTTCAACATGATCAGCATTTCCATTGCAAGTCCTTGGAAAATATTTTTCTGATAAGAAAAAGATATGAATAGACACACCAGTCTTGGATAATAAACTCCTTACTTATTTGGCCGAAGAACAAGCACTGACTGGCCATTAAGCAGACATATCCGACTTCAAGCGTTGTTCACCCCGAGACTCAAACCCGCGAACTGCCGAGTAGAAGTCCAACGCTCCAACCACCGCGCCACGAGCTCGTTGCCTGGCGGTTTCGATTAGGAATATACACAATGACAGATAGGTGCTCACCGACTGTAGAATTCACGCGTTCCGTTTTGTCTTGGGGCTAGGGCACAGTAGCCGGGCTAACTCATAAAGTCCAAAGAGTTTCACAAGAAAATCCCTGGTACGCAAAATTGGCCCAAGGCGCGTTCCCCAAAGTCGTATAGTAGAAAAATAAACATCCTTATAGAAGGAAGACATATTGTGATTTATCAACTACTATTTTGCGGTAGAGTAAAAGGTTTTTTTTAGAATAACGGAAAATTCAGAAAAAGTTTAAAATCAAGGCTACCAAGAAACGTAAGTTTTAAATTAGTGGTAGTCTGTTCGTGCAAATAACTGAGTACAAAAAGCATCACAAATAGAATAACATTTAAAAGTAGTGCGTTGGTGAAACTTTCGGATAAGTAGGTTTCCACATTGCGTGCAATATAAAGTATTGTATATTGCGGAGTCAGCACACCACTGGAACGCAGAGAGCACATGGCACACAAAAACATCCAGTTATTTCTTTAATTCTATCCTCCCAGTGATATGTTGGACTAGGTTAACCAGATTTTCATTCGATTGTGCCGAATGGGACGTCACAGAAGTAAGTTCACATGTAGACATTGTGGATGCATCTTCTGCTAAAAATGAAGGAACTCCCTTTTCTATGTATACCAGAGCAGTTTCAGTATGGTTGCTTATTTCTAAAATTGCAGAAGCGCAGCAAAGTGGCAGAATATAAACTCAGATTTTGAGAAAAAGAATAATCTTCTCACCGTTCCGTTTGAAGTCTTTCTGTTCATTTATTCTGCTCTATGTCAGTTAAGCCAGCTACTGCATATATTAAGAGTGTGTTTTCGTGTTTTTTAATCCCTTACGTTTTAATCGGATAAAAAACCCTACAGGAGCTCGTTTGTCTTAACTTTAAGCCCAACAACATTAAGATTCCGAGTATTAAATTTGGAGGGTTTAATCCTAAATTTAATAATTAACGCCTTTTCCAGTCATTATTTGTCATGTCCATAAGTCTAATGTTTTTGTGAACGAATAATTTAAATGACTGTTTAAATTTTATAGAACAACGATGCTTCGGCTGCATTGAGAATCCAACATATGAAAGCGCCATCGGAAGCTACTGCAACTTTGATATTGGTAAAATAATAATATTTTGTGCTTCTACGTCTTGATTTTGGTTAATGTGAACTATGTTGTGGTGTATATGTACCCAGCAACAGATAAAATATTACCAGGGTTAAATCGTTGCACATGCTATCAGTACATTTATGTAGGGACTTTTGACAGATTTGAATAAATCATTTGACCCACTTGTTGGCTAGCTTGTGGGTTACTGACGCGGATTCGATTCCCACCGAGCTACCGTGTCTTCATAAGCGGATCAACTGAATACGTTTATAGGTTTAAATTGATGGCCTTAGATATTTAAATCAACCGCAGCGTTCCATATGAAGTCAGCTTACCTTAACTGTAATTTTTTTATTTGCGCAAGGGGCATTTTGACTGCTATTCGTCAGGAAATGCACCAAAAAGTTTTTAAACTTGATTACATAAAGACGTTCTCCCTCAGTATTTTGAATCGTTCGTTATCAATCTAAGAACGTCTGTTCTTTAAGGACCCTCGCAAATTCATGGATCGTAGTTGGGAACATGTAGTGAAAACCAAACCGTCTTGCTCAGCTATCAGACTGCTACTGAATAATTGGATTTACTATAAACACTATTCGGTTTTTAGGTAAAAAAGAATGTTACATAAACTGACTATTTTTTCCCAGACCTAAAAAGTCGTCCCCAAAGGGCATAGATGAAATACGGCAAAATCACCGGTCATGCAACAGTTTGCTAGCGACAAACCTGTAGAAAACGTGAATGTGGACCGCACCACTATGTTGAGGTAGATGGCTTTAAGTTGCTGTAAGTTTCGTTTGATGATTCACGTTTACCACTTATAAAATTTGAGGACAAATAGTGAAGCTCCATCCCATGTTTCTCCCTAATTTTGTGATAATATAAGATGATATAAGACCCTTGTGTCAGTGGTTATAAGTCAATCTGAAAGCACAAGTTAACCCCCGTTTATAGTAAAATTGTCCAAATAACTTAGAAACAAATAATAATATAACGCATAATATGCATAGTTTAGGCTCCAAACAATCCGCCAATTTTAATTCGTAGACATTACCTCTAAAAGTTACATTTAATGATGTTCGAAACTGATCCATTTGTTTTCTTTGACAAAATCAGGAAGAAAGGAGAACTCTAAACTAACTATGGAATAATGTGATAAGAAATTAATAGAAAGCTAGGGCTGAAATATCTCATTCTTAGAATCGCAGTCCGTTTTATCGTGTCAACTACTTCACAAATAATAATTTATTTCAGCATCCACGTCAACCATTTGAAATTATTTTAACTAAAAAGACAGCATATTTCTTGTGATCTACACGGTCGCGGACGCCACGAGTTGGTTTGTGTCCGAGAATTTAGTGTCGCAAGCTTAATGGCTTTTCCGTTCTACGGTTTCTAGGAAAACCTCTCTGTGTGCCATAGCCGGAAAGCTGAAATACTTTCAAATTTTAAATCGACAAGGGAACCCAATAGGAAGTTTCAAAACCGCAAACAGAAATGGGAATGGATTAATGGTCATTTGCGTTTTGGTTGTTAGAATTTACCACGTTCTATTGTCTCTGTTGCCTTGTGTTTATCTTTCTTCGTGAATTAAACCACTCGAACTCCAGGGACTTGCCTAAAGTATATATCTGCACCGCTTTTATTCAGTGGCCCGAGTGAAAGTACAGGAACTTCGGCCGATAGCAGACGGGAGGAATGACAGTTACACAATACGAGGCAGATTTAGAGCGTTCCCCAACAAACGGCCCACTCGCGGTGTCCCGGCTTCAAAGTTGCAGTATCGAGTGGACTGTGACTGTCCCATTATAAAGGCAGCAGCTATGCAGCGAAATGGAGCCGGCCGCTGGCTTGTGATGGGTAATCTCTCAGCAGACGGAAACGTAGTTCAGGTATGTCAATTTTTTATGATATGTTCTGCGTAAATGAGCTATTCAACCAACTGGGTCACGGACGCACCAATCTACGAAGATTAACTGAGTCATACAGGTCATCTTCTGGTCATTGTCTTTCCGCAGCAGTAATTGTGTTTTGGAAGTTATTCAGGACAATGAAAAATTATTTTAAAAACACCTCTGAAGGCATGTCGAAGGAAAAGCTTAATATGGAAAATCAAACTTCCATACATCTTCGGGTGGTAGATACGGCCTAAATGCTAACATACATTTTCCTACTTCATCTACACAGTCTCAAATAGACCGATCTAATAAAGTTGCCGATTAATTTCTGGGAAACTCGGAAATTAGCAATTTTAACACCTTCTGTGTTGTATTCCACGTAATTTCCTTATCGGATTAGTTCAGGGCATTTACTGGAGAGGGTATAGTCGAGTAAGGAAACGCTATTTGGTTTTAAAAAAATCCAGTTAACTTTGACTTACTAATGACTCAATAGAGGCAAGTAGACATAGACGGCCACTTTGAAATTAATAGTTTGTCCTAGCCGGACATAACACAGCCAAAAGTCCATACTGTTTTCAGTTCACTTTTCTTTCTCTAAGCCTTTCCGATGGAACTGTCAGCCTATGCCCTTGAGTCACGGTCGATATTCAGCAGCTAAGCGTTCGTTGCCGCGAAATAGGACAAATCGTAATAATATAATATTTCAATAGCCACAGTCTGCCTGCTGGACTGCTTAAATGAATTAGAGCGCAGGAAGTCCGCTTATCGTTTAAAAAGTTCCAGCTGAACTCCATGGTTAGGGGGGACTGACATAGTTGAACGCGACGAACTGATCTTTTAGCTTAAATGACTAGTTCACCAGGACAAAAATCACATTTAATTTTTCAGTAACCCCCAGATTTACAGTTCTTGATTAAAATATCCCCGTAGTATGAGGATATTTAGTATTTTGACAAATTGTCCATCGCGTTTTGAAGTCATCCAATACACACGAGTTGCGTACTTTGGTTAGCTTTATCGTAACTTTTCATTAGGAGGTTGCTATTTTTTTATTGCCGGCATATATACCCGTAATTCCGGTGTGCAGAAATTATCAAAAATAACCTTTTAAGCAGACGTTTGTCAGGCCATATACCTAGACCGTAAACGACGACATGGAATAACCTATTTGTTCTTCCTTTACAGGTTCAACACTTGTCGCACATAAGGGAGAGGAACAGCGGCATAAAAAAAGCTATCAAAGATATTCGGTCCAAGGAGCAGCGGTTATGTCATGTGGATCTTATGAATCCTCTGAATAACCATTTCAATATTCCTCGACACTCTTCTGGAGACCCAGTACAGCGTAACCCCAATCAGGAAAATGCCAACGGCAAAGGGAGAAGACGCCGTGGAAGAAACCGAAATAATGGAAATCGTAGAAGAAGGAGAGGCGAGAGGCGCCGTGCTTTAACACACGAATCAGCCACACAGAAGGCCGAAGATGGTCAGTCTAAGGGTGATTTGGAGCAGAGTATAAAACCCGCATCCATCGCACAGATCCGGCCAGTAAATGACTTCCCAGTACGACAACCTAATGGTCCGTGGGACAAGAGAAAGGACGGATTCTTATATCCACAACTGTCTGCAGACAAATCTCCACGAAGTTCGCCTTATCGCTCTTGGACCCCTGGCACGCAAACTTAGTACGGCAATTCTGAACGCGCGCAAAGCGGATTAAGAATGCTCGGGTTAAGGGTAGAGACGTTTACTTACATGTCCATATTCATCAGACATAAAACAATTTCAACACCTCAGTTTGTGCGTACAAGTCCAGTATATCCTGATGAAGCGCTATCTTATAAATTGCGTAAAATCTTGAGTAGGTCCAAGACATTACGGACCGCAATTTTTCAATCTGTTCCAAACGTTACACTCATGATACAGAAGAGATCAGATAATTAAGAATTTCGTTGATTTGTCATTCATTTCCAGCACGATGTTTCCTCGTTTCATTTGTAGTTTCCTACTTGCCTTTTGTTCTCATTTCTGTGCATTTTATCACATAAAAAGTTGAGAGTCGCGTGGATCTGCGCACAATCTCAGAGAAAAGCGCATAAAATGCGGTCGCTATTCCGAATAGTACGGCGCATCTGATTGTTTTAATGAGAGATTATCCAGACTTTGGCAGGGAATTCAAATATTCCGGATGGAATATTAATTTTGATTTAATTGAAAGATTCGCCGTAAGACACAAGTGTTTTAAGAACGGCCGAAACGAAAGCCGTAAGAACATTGTAAAAAGTAATTTTTCTCTCTTATTTTACAATTTCGCGTAAGGCGCTTGCTAAAATTTATAAAAGCAACGTCCATATTTTACGGTTTTTATAGAAATCTTAAAGTGTTTGTTGGTGAGATGCTTTAACGAATTTGCATTTATCATATTTCTTTCTAAAAGTGCCGCTCACCTTATTCAACAGATGACTGTATCAGATCGACAAAAGCAGTAATGAATTAAAAGACAGGATCCTTTCGATCTAATCACGTCCTTTACCCAATAATCAGTGCTCATCCACTCATGAAAGGTATCACAGGAGGACAGATTGAGTTCAGAATTGTGCAATGTATCAATGAGGGATTCAAAGGACGACTGGCGAGCTTACCGTTGTTCTCCAAAAATGTTTTTCGGGCCAGTACGTTTAAATAGGAACGGGATCGAAGAAAAAAATATCAGCGATAAAAGAGGTCAATTGAATTTCGCTTTAACATACATTCAATGTGCAGGAATATGGGCAGAGGATGATAAAGAGCAATGGAGTTTTTGGAGAGTTATGTCAGTAGGGGGAGGAGAAGGAGTGGTGTGTGCAGTTATTCTACATTTAGCCACGACAAACGTAGTCTTTACCTCATTTTTGTGCCGGGCTGGTGTTGTTCCTAAGGCAGCTCTACAGTAGCCGCCGAAGACCATGCAACGCTAATTAGGAAATTCGCCTGAACATTTTGTCATATATTTGAAAACACTATTGTGGTTCATTCAGTTTATTGAATTCT